CTTCTCTGGGGCATGTGGTGCCAGGGCCTCCCAGCCTGGCCCCTGGACATGGCCCCACACGGAGGCCTTGACAGAGTCAGGCCCTGGGCCGGGAGAGGCAGCCGAGGGCGCCCCTCTGGGGCCCCCTCCTCCCCGCCTTCCTCCCCACCTTCCTTTTCAAAAACATAATTTATCTGTGTATTATCGAGAAATCCAGACACTTTAATCAGTGAGCTATGAAGTCAGAATTTCCATTCTTATCTGCGGGAGGAGTGGAAGTGGAGGAGATAGCGGGAGGAATCCTGGTGGGGAATGTTAATGGGCAGGAGGCTGGGCCAGCGGCCACCACGACGCTGGCATCTCCTCCATTATCAAGGCCGTATCTCGCCAACCATCTGAGTGCGGTAATGGGGCCAGTTCAACTTTCCGAGTTATCACAGGAGCTGAAACCTGCGCCTGCCAGAGGCCCGGCCCGGAGACAGCGCCAGGAGGGACAGGGCAGAGTGCTCAGGAGGGGAAACTGAGGCCCAGGAAGTGGACAGGCTCCTTGCCCTTGGGAGGGGCTAATGTGCTCTGGGGACTGCAGGGCCGGGGTCTCACGTGAGGACCCCACGGCCACAGGGCTCTGTGGCCAACTCTGCCCGTGGACTCGCCTGTGGTCACACAGCCCCATGGCAGCCAAAGCCCCGGTCTCACCCATGAGTTCACCAGGCTCACAGCCACTCTCAGAGCTTCCCAGAGGTGTGAGGGCACGGTCACGGGGGCCAGGACTGTGGGGCAGCTGGGGGAAGCCCCAGGTGAGGCCGAGGGTCAGCACCCAGGGCCAAGAGCTCCACAGGGAGCAGGGGGCTGTGCAGTGAGGAAAGCTGGGGTGTGGCCGTCTGTCCTCCCGACCATGTCAAACGCCACAGGCTGCGCCCACGGAGGTCTCTGTCCCTGCACCGGGCAAGGGCCGCACCATGGCTCAGTTTCGCAGCGAGCAAATGGCCGGGGGAGGCCTGTGTCGGGCCTGGGCTGGCAGCCCCTCCCCACGACCATCCTGAGAGTCTGACAACAGAGGACCAGGAAGGGGCGACGGCTGTGAGCAAGGCTCCTGAGGCGTGCACCTCTTGGCCCTGGCCATCTCAGGGCTCCCAAGTGTCGCCGCCTGCTTGCTGGCCACTGCAGAGGTAGGAAGCCCAGGCCCAGGGAGGCCACAGCCGGTCAGCCTGGAGAGGCAGACAGAGGGGAGGGGCCTGCCTATCTGCCAAGGTCGGCAGCCACATTCCTGCCCCGGCTAGGGGCGGCGGTGGGGGGTGGGGTGGGGTGGGGGGACAGCTGTCTAGAGCTGCGGCTGCCGGGGGTGGGGAGGCTGGGCTTCCAGCGGAGCTGGTGGACAGGGTGGAGCAGACACTGCCCAGGACGCCCCAGCCTCGGATCAGGTGGACCTCAGCAACTCGGTGACCCTGGTAAACAGAGTCGCAGGGAAGGTGACGGCGGTGTGTGTGGCGGGCACAGCGCATGCAGTCTCAGGACAGGCTTGGGCAGGCAGGAAGCCACCAGGAGGGCCCAAGGAAGGGGCAGTGGTGACCATCCATGCTGGGGTTTGGCCAAGCACCCACGAGGCAGTCAGCGGCTCCCGGGGCCTCCTTTGGACTCAGCACCCGACACAGGGCCCAGGATGAGCTGTTGTTAACTGGCCGGCCTCAATGGCACATGAGCCATGGGAGCCATGTGCCTAGGGCCTCAGGAACCAGGCCAGGCTGCAGGGGCCTGCTCTGGCCTGCAGCAGCCACCGCCTGCCTGGGTGGTCTCCAGCTCAGCCTAGAACTCTCAGGCTCCGAGTGTGGGGGACCCGCTGGGAACAGGAGTCCTGAGGCCTTGTAGCCTCGCCCCCACACCCTGGTTCACGGCAACACCCACTGGGGTTGGGACAGCTCGTCACCCAGAGCCCAGGTCCACTGGCAGCAGGCACCTGTCAGCCCCTCCCCAGAGCAGGAAGGCCACCCAGATGCCAGGGGCTGGGCTGAGCCCGCCACCTTCCCCCGGCGTTACGAGTCCAGGGCGCTGAGCCCCTGGGGGCCCACTACTGCTGCCTCAGTCACAAGCAGGACTTGGTCCCGGCCCCCCGGGCACACGGAGGCAGAGGGAGGGCTGGCACACCTGACCTGCTCCCTGGGTGACGGCATTTTCCTCACCACTCTCCTGGCTGCTGCCCACAGACCCGAGGCCACTAAGCGGCAGTTAGGGTCCAAGCCTGTGTGGCTGAGGACAGCAGAGGCTGCGAAGCCCCACCCCAGGCGAGGGGAGCTCTCCTGGCTCCTGGGGGCCCCCACCCAGACTCCCTGTGGCCTGAGACGCCGGGAGAAGGGCTGCAGTGTGACTGAGGCCTCGGCAGTGGGCTCTGTGAAGTGGGGACAGGAGCCTCATGGTGGGCGATGCCTCCAGAGGAGGCCTGTGGGCCACAGATAGAGCGTTGGGAGTATTATTCACCAGCCCGCCAAGCCCGGAACGTCTGGTTGGCATAGAAACAGCAGATAAGGGGCACAATTAATGGCATTGCATTGCCTCCTCCTTTCTTCCCCAACTGACCCATTTAACTCCCCGAGGGCCTGGTGCCCCAGGGAGGGGCTGCCCAGCCAAGGGATGGCCCTGGGGTTGGGGAGGGAGCCGGTCAGCAAGGAGAATGGTGCTGTGGAGAGACCCCAGGGGGTCTACATATGCAAAGGCCCATTTCACAGATGTGGAGACCCGAGAGCTGAGGCCAGAAGCCTCCACTCTGCAGAGGCTGCGTCCCTTCTTGGGAGAGCAGCTCCACCTTCCTGTGTACAGCAGTGACCCCCCCAGGAAGGGTGCTGGTGGGCCTGAGGCTGGGGGTGGGCAGTAATGGCCACAGCCAGGTGCTGCCCAGGATCTGGGAGCGCAGCTGGGATGCCTGCCCTGGGCCCCATGGGTGGGGGGTGGGCCCCGTGGGTGGGGGGTGGGCCGCTGGAAGCCGGTGGCTGCCTTGGATGCTCAGCTGAATTAGTCATCTTGTGGCTACCAATAATTTGTTTAATCAAACTCTGAGAATGTGTGAAAAACACCTTCCTCTCGAAGGGAGCGACTGCTATGGCAGGACGGGAGGGGCCGGCAAGTCCCTGGATGCCCCCGGAAGCCCCGTCCAGCGGGCCCTGAGCTCCATACAGCTCTGGCAGACTTGCAAACCCATTTCACAGATAGGCAAACTAAGCCCCCCTCACTTTCCAGCCCTCACCCCCCCAGTGTGGTCTGCAGTCCTCTGGGCAGTGTCGCGTGCCCGAGGCTCCCTCCCCTGTGAGCAAGCGAAGGGGTGCACAGAGACCCCTGGCTGGGGCCTGCTTGCAGAGCCCAGCACACCCACGGCAGCTGCCCAAGCAAGCCACCTTGGGTGCTGGTTGTTTTCCTTCAAGAAAACTCCAAGTGGGTCACAACTGATGCTGGCCCAGGACCCAGGACCCAGGACCCAGTGGGAAGGACGCCCTGTCCTGCCCCAGGTGACCGGGGGCAGACATCTATCAGGATCAGCCGTGTCCTGCCCTCCCCCCTTCCTGGCCAGCCAAAGTCAGTTTTCTTTCATTTTGACGGACTGTACCACCCCAGGCAGGGGGGAGGGCCAACTTCTTGGCAACTCAGAGTGTTGGAGTGGGGGGAGCTTCCTCACTGTGCTGCTTCCCGCCTCGCCTGGCCAGGGCCGAGCCCCCCCATCCCCTCACCTTGTTGCCTCCAACCCTGTTGGGCCTGCTGGACACAGATAAGGCAGCTTATCACTCTTGGCGATCGCCATCGGGCAGGCGGACTGGCCTGTGCTTATCTGAGCTCACATCGCCTGGGAGGGAGGAAGGGCCAGCGGGCTGGGGGCGCCGGGGTCCGGGCTGCACCCTGCTGGCCAGCAGCCTATCGCCAGCCATCTGGCCGGCCAAGGCCGCGCTCCCGCCTTGCCTCCCCCTGCTCCCACGTTTGAAGTTAATAAATGGAAGCGCCTATCACCACCTCCATCGCTGGCGCCTTATCAGCACGGCACATCTATCTGCCGCGGAACAAAAGGCGCAGGAGGCGCGGGCAGCTGCGCCCGGCCTGGACGGGGGCGCGGGGGGCGCGGGTCGCAGGTGAGGCCCCGCAGGGCGCAGCAGCCAGGGCAGAGGGCGGCGGCGGCGCCGGGTGACAATCAGCGCTGGCATCTTAACGCGTCGGGATCTGCCGGGGAGGAGGCGCCCCGGGCCGCGCGCAGGGAGGGTCCCGGTCCCCTCCCCTCCCCGTCCCCAGCGCCAGCAGCTCGGCGACCGGCCCCGCCCCGGCGGCTTTATCGGCTCTGGCGATCGGTTCCCAACCTGCGATCTCCCTGCCCGCGTTATCTGCATTTCTCATCGGCCCAGACGCACGAGAACAGACCCGGACAGAGGCGCCCGGGGGAGGAGGGGACAGAAATCAGAGAAGCCCGGCCCTCAGGACTCGGGCTGCTTCGGGACTCGCGGCGACTTTGGGAGCGCAGGTCCTGCCAAGCAGCGGCCAGGGGAACCCGGACGCCGGCCTCAGCCGCCCTGCGCGACCACCCCCGGCGCAGTGCCCAGGCGCCAGGCGGAGCAAGCCCCGCGCCCAGGTCCCCGCCCAGGAGGCGCGAAGTTGTCCTGGCGCAGTCCAGCGCCCCCCGAGCGCAGGGCGCCCTGGCACGGGGTGGCCGACCAGGGGCGAGGGGCTGCCTCCGCGGGCTCCGCGGCAAACTCCGGCGGACTCGGGGCTGGGACCCTGCGCGGGAGGACCTCGCCGAGGCCCCCGGACCCCCCTGCGGACACAAAGGCCGGGAGAGCCGAGCGCCAGATAGGATCACAATTTCTGCCCGTCCCGACGGAGCGATCTTATCGGGCCGAGCCGCGCAGAGCGGAATATTTTAAACTTTATCGGGGCCGCGCTATCGCGCACCATCGCGGTGCGGCCCGGGCCCCGCGCCGCCCCCGTCCCGAGGCCGCGCCGCCCCCGTCCCGAGGCCGCGCCGCCCCCGTCCCGAGGCCGCGCCGCGGACTCACGCTTGATCTGCCGGGGGTTGCTCTGTTTCCTCCTGGACATGTCTCCGGCGCCGCGCGCCTCCCGAGGCCGCCTCTAGCCCCGAGCGGGCGGCGGCGGCGGGGCGGCCGCGGGGCGGCTCATGCCCCCGGCCCCGGGCTGCGCCCTCCGCGGACGGGGCTGTCGGCAGGCCGGCCGGTCCTCGGCTCTTCTCCACGGAGCCTGCGGGCGCCCAGCGGCAGAGCCGGCGGCCGCGGCCACGGCGAGGGCGGACCGGGCAGGAGCGCCCGCGTCTCGGGCCGCCGCGCCTCTGGCCCCGCCCCGGGCCCGCCCCCGCCCCGCCAGGCCCCGCCCCCGGAGCGCCCCGCCAGTCCAGCCCCCGGCCAGGCCCCGCCCCCGGAGCTCCCCGCCAGTCCAGCCCCCGGCCAGGCCCCGCCCCAGCCAGGCCCCGCCCCCGGATCTCCCAGCCAGTCCAGCCCCCGGCCCGCCCCGCCCCAGCCAGGCCCCGCCCCCGGATCTTCCAGCCAGTCCAGCCCCCGGCCAGGCCCCGCCCCCAACCAGCCCCGTTCCCCGCTCTCCCAGCCAGACCCCGCCCCCAGCCAGGCCCCGCCCCAGCTAGGTCTCGCCCCCAACCAGCCCCACCCTCGGATTTCCCAGCCAGCCCCGTCCCAGCCAGGCCCTGCCCCCAGCCAGGTCCCGCCCCCGGCGCAGACCCACCTCTGGCTCCAGGCCCCGCCCCCACCAGACTTTACCTCTCTTAACTCTTAACTCTCTTAACTCGGTTCTTGACCTGACGGGGCGCCTCCCCTCTCTGGCTCCACCCTCCCCTCCGCGCGCCGAGTCTCCCCGCGCCGGCCTCCAGGATCCCCTCAGCGCCTTGGCCCCGCCCCCGGTGGCTCGGCCCTCACGCTCTGGTACCACCCCTTCCGGTTCCGCCTTTACCATCCGGCCCCTCCCTCACGGCGCCCCGCCCTCGGGCCCCGCCCATCAAAGCTCCTCCCCACCGACTCCTCCCTCAGCTGGTCCCGCCCATCAAGCACTCTTCTCCACGGCGCCCCGCCCCCTCCGCTGCCCCGCCCAGTCCTAGCTCCTCCTCCGCTGGCCCCTCCCCTCCCCTGGCCCCGCCCACGCCGAGCTCCTCAGGCCTCCCTTCTCCTCAGGCCCCCGTCTCCTCAGCCTTTTCTCCGCCTGCTGGCACTGGGCGCCCTAGTCAGTCCCGCAGCTCCGCCCCTCCGTCCCGGGGCCGCGGCCTTGCCCAGGAGCCACCGGCAGTCCCCGACACCTGCCAGGAGGCCGTGGGGTGCGGAGCAGGCTCTGGCCAGGCCGTGGAGGGGTGTCCATGTGTCCGGGGCCCACGGAGGCCTGGGTCTTTCCTCCCCAGCAGAGGGGTGCCCTTGTTCCTGGGGTCCCAGAGCTTCCACCAGCCCCGCGTCTGACCCTGCAGCTGCCCTGCTGTCCACTGCGTGCCACCGTTTCCTTGCGTATCTGTCCCTCGAGCATGTCTGTCCCCACCAGGCTTGTGGAAACAGAAGGCCCTGACCCTGCAGCTGGCCATCGCTCACCCTGTGCACCTGCTGGCTATGCCATCTGGAATTGTCTGACTGATGTCTGTCCGAGCCGCAGGAGGGGCCGAGGGCCCTGGGTACCATGACGCCTGGGTCACCCAGCGGCCTGTCGCCCAGGATCGGCTGCATACTGGGTGGGAAGACAGTCCACACACCACAAATAACAGGATGGGGACCCGCATTCCGTATGGCCGCAGGTTCGAGTCCCAGTCGCTCCACTGCCCATCCAGCTCCCTGGTAATGGACCTGGGAGTGATGGCCCAGGAAGTTGGGTCCTTGCACCCATGTGGGGGACCCAGACGGAGCCCCAGGCTCATCCCTGGAGGAATGAGCCAGTAGGAGCTCTTGCTCACTCACTCGCTCACTCTCACAAAGACACAGTGTTCCTCCAGGGAAAGAAGGCAGCTGGTGCAGAGCCGCAGGACTGCACTGTGGGCACAAGGCCCACAGACCTGACAAGGGCACCTGGCCTCTGCAGGCACTCCCCCACCCCAGCATGCCTACCAGTCCACTCCGACTCCCATTTTGGTCACCTGTCACCCTGGTTACGTCCCCTGCCAGACAGGAGCCAGCAGGGTGTGTCCAGCCAGCAGAGGACTGTCCGGCCCTGTGCTGCTGCATGGCTAAGTGCTGAGCGGGGCCTTGGGGAGCACGCTGCCCTCCCGCTGCCCAGCCTGGCAGGACTCCGCTGCTCACCCCCGGAACCTGCCCGCAGCTGCCAGTCATCGCAGCCCTGGGGCCGCCAGGCAGCTGAGCCGGGGCCTTTGCTGACTTGTCAGTGAGGGCTCCATCGAGGGTTTAATTAACTTCCTGTTTCTGGGGGGATAATGTGACCCCACCGGCAGGTCACCCGGCAGCAGGGATGTCAACAAGAATTAACTTGGGGTGGAAGCCACGCAGGGGGCCCAGTGCCCTGCAGAGGGAGCTCAGAGAGACGGGGACAGCGAGGGGGTGGCAAATGCCGGAGGCACGCGTGGCGTGTCCATCTGCTGCTGGGCGGCCTGGCCCTGCACAGCACTGGGCTCGGGCTCAGCACGGCAGCTGCCTTACTCCCCCCCCCCCCACCGAAGCCGCCTGCCCTCTCGGAGGCCACGAGCAGCTCAAGGCGGAAACAGCACGTGGCCACACAGCTGCTGTGCCAGCTTTAAGTTGGGTCCCTTGGCCATCATGGGAAGGGGTGCGAGGTGCAGCCCTGCCACAGAAGCTGCCCCAAACGGCAACAGCCTGGTTCTGAGGGGGGCACCCCACACTGCACCAACGCTACGCCTGCCAGGGCTGTGGGGTGAGGGCCCTGTAAGCCATGGGGCGTGGGGCAGGGTGCTGTCACATGGCTGCAGGTGACTGGGCAGTTACAGCAGGCCTAGGGGCTAGGGCTGAGGGCTTTGTCCACGTCACAGGTCACAGGCCTTAGCGGACCTCACAGAAGTCCCCTCCCCTCGAGAGCGCCGCTGGAACCCGCGTGACAGCCAGGGAAACCAAAGCCGGGCCTGGCGAAGCAGGCCTGCAATGGATGATGCCAGGGTGCTGAGCTGAGATGCAGAGGGGTGCCAGGAGCCGGCTGGGGCAGCCTCAGCACTCCTCAGGCCTGGCCGGGACGAGGTCAGCAGCCACAGTGGGCGGTAGGCACCACTGTACTGCAGGAAAGGGGCTTGGCCTTGGCAGCCCGGCTGGTGGGCGAGGCGACAGCCACCCTGGGACCACAGTCACCCCCACCCCTCGCAGCACAGGGCATCCTCAGGCCTCGTGCCCATGGCTGCATTAAGGGACCGTTGGTGAATGCTTCATGACTGCCCACGATGACCCAGACGTCCCTGCCCTGTCCGACTCACCCCACATCCCCCAAGGAAGCCTGCATGGGGAGCCGTCATACCCCAGGCACCCGAGACCTGGTTTATCACACTTACCCTGGGTTGAGCAGGTATGTTGTATGAGGGACACCCAGTGTGGCTGAGACCTTGATGTAAGTTCATGTGTGTGCCCGCGTTGGTGTGTGGATGGCCCCGGGGGGGCTGCGCACCACGGAGTGTAATGGCCACTGCCACCCCACATCCTTGCGGACCGGGGGTGCCCTGGCTGGGCGAATGCTGCCACCTAGTGGTCAGGCAAGGGCCATCCCCGCCGCAGGTCGCCCAGACATACTGGGTGGATGGGGGTGCACCTGGAAACCTACCAGAGCCTTCCTTGGACATGGCTGACACCTGGGGGAAGGCGAGGGGATAGCATGGACAGGCACGTGGAGGGTGGGCACAGAGGCCTGAGGGAGGAGATCCACACCAAGGGGTGAGACCCCGGGAGCTTTGTTCCCCAGGAAGGCACTAGCACAGCGTGCCCACTCACATCCCCACCCTCCACGCGCAGGCCGGGCAGCCCTCCCTCGGCCTGTGGCAGCACAGTCTGGGCCCCAGGGAGGCTGGCCTGGTCCCCTGCACCCTCACACGGCCCAGCTGTTTCCTGACAGCTCCCTCCTCCCAGCTCTGCTCCCTGGGGCTCCCCCTCCCCCGTGGAGGCCTGGGACGTTTGGCGACCATCCCTACTGGGCGGCCGAGCCACAGGGGTCACAGGGGCGAGGTTCTGTGTGCCAGGGCCTCTCTGCTCAGGTCTGGGTTTCTTGTCTGAAAACAGGGTGCCTAGGAGATGGGACCCCAGTTGAGCCACATCATGGTGTAGCTGGGACTTGCACATTACCCTGGCACTGGTGTGTGGCACACGGCAGCCCTACAAGTGACACCCCGAGGACCAGGCCCCGGGGCTCGGGGGAGGGTGGACAGGCGGTGGACAGAGGGCACACAGGTGGTGTCTTCTGAGAAAATAGTGGGTGTGTATTTGAGAAGAGGAGTTGGCTGAGTTTTACAGTACGACCGAGCCCACCTCAGACACACGGGCCTTCCAGGGAGACGGGGTGGGGGCCAAACCTCGAAAAGACAGACTTGGACTTGAACATGGCACTTGAGAATTCCGAGGCAGGACAAGTCAGATCGCGTGGGACTTTGTCCCTGCTCCGTCAGACTGGAGACCCCGTAGCCTGTGGGCACCCGGCCACCATGGGGCGGCACCCCCTCAGCCCCTGCCCCCTGGCTGTGAGAGTCTGGCCGTGGCAGTGCTTCCTGGGGCCTCCCTCCTGGATCCTGTTTCCCTTTCCCCAATCAGCCCCCCCAGGTTAAAAACAACAGCAACCCCCCCCCTTCCCAGAAGCCTGTATTCACATTAAGACTCAGAAATAGCACCAGATTCAGAGGATGGCCGTGGAGGCCGGAGGGGACACTCTCACAGGGTCCGGAGGGAGCCCTGGACTCCCAGGGCCAGGGGTGCTGGCCATGCAGGTAGCGTGGTTGGGGCTGGGGGGACGGTCTGGCTCAGAAATGGCCCTTCTGAGAGATGAGTTCTCCGTTGTGCAGCAACAGCCGCCTGATCCCCAGGCAGCATGGGGCCCACAGGGCCGGGGCAGGCCGGGCTCTCCGGGGTCCCCATCCTGCCCCGGCCCAGTGGAGGACATCTCAGTCCTGCTCCCCCAAGGCGCACACCTCACTCTCCGGCCTCTCTCTTCAAGGGGATCTTGAAGTTTGTTGTTCGCTGGCCAAAGAGCTGGCTGAGGAGGTCGCTCTGGGAGGCAGCCGTCCGAGGCTGCCGGGGCTCGGCGGGCGCAGCCCTGAGGACGGCCCTGGCCCTCCTCGGGGACCCGACCTTGCCCAGCCTTCCCCTGCCGTGCAAGTGGCCGCTCCGGCCACCTGGGCTGGGCTCGAGGGGAAGCAAGCGGCTGGGGGCCGCCTGCTTGCGAGGGGCCCGGGCGGGTTTCTCAGGGCCAGTGGGGCCCCAGCTCAGCCCTGATGCCTGGCTCTTCCTCTTCTTCTCTCCCTTCTCCCTTCGGGGCCCCTCGGCGCTAGCGGAGGCAGCGGAGAACTTGTCCAGCGCAGGGATCTGGCCTGGACTGGGAGGTTTGCCTGGGGTGCTGGCTGTCTCACTCTGAAGCTGCCCGCTGGAGGGCTGGGGCTGGCTCCCACCCCCCGCCTTGAGGCCCAGGCGAGGGCCTGTACTGCTCCGGGAGCTGGGGCCGAGCTTGTCTTTGGGGGAGGGGAACTTCTCTCTGCCCTCTGTGCTCTGGGCCAGTTCTTGGGGTGCCGGGAGCCCCACAGCCTTGCTTGGATGTCCTGGGCACCTGGGCACCTTGTTTGGGGTGGGTGTCACTGGCCCATCCTTTGGTAAACTGCGGCAGCCCCCAGGCTTGGTGGCCCTGCTCCTGTGGCGGGGCTCCATGCCGGCCTCGGGCCCTGGGAAGTCCATGGCTGTCTGCTGCTCCTTCTGGGGCAGAGAGGGGTGTCCTGGAGAGTACCCAGGAGCACACTGGCCACGAGTGCCCACGGCCCTGCGTTTCCCTGAGAACACACGAGGAACCCTGTTCTCTGTGTCCGGCAGGGGCACAGACCCCTCCTGACCAACAGGCTGAGGGCTGCCTGGGGAGGCCACGCCCTCAGACCGCTCTGAACCTCGGTGGTCTGGTTCAAGGCCACCAGGTGAGGGTCGGGGTAGAGCAGGCAGGGGCTCCACTGGCACTACTGTGGGCTCCGGCCTTCCCTGGACTGGGAGGGCCCCCTCACTTGGGGTAGGGCCGCCCAGGGAGGGGGGTCTGTTCGCGCCCTCGGGCCGCGGCACCTTGCACCGTTTGCGGGCCGGTGCGCCCTCGGGAAGCCCAGGCCGCCTCACGCGGCGCAGGGCGATGGGCTGCTGGTCCAGTCTTAGGTGCTTGTCCACGTGGCGCTCCAACTGCTCCTTCTTGGCAAAGGTGTAGTTGCAGGAGCTGCAGACGAAGCACCGCTTGATGACCTGCAGGACGTCGGCGCACAGCTCACAGGTGTACAGCGGCGTGTGCTGCGGCTCACTGGCCGCGGGCTGGCCATGCGCCTCGCCCAGGTGGGCACGCAGCTGGCGCGGCTCGGGGTAGACGTACGGGCACCGCGGGCACAGGTAGACGCGCTGCGGGCTGTGCACCGCCAGGTGACGCTGCAGCTTGAAGGGCTTGGGGAACCGCTTCCCGCAGTGGTGGCAGTCGCGGGAGGGGTCCCTGCAGGGCGCGGCCTGCGGGAGCCGTTCCGTGCTCGTCCTGGGGGCCTTCCCGGCCGGGGCGGGGTTCCTGCAGGCCGCCGGGACGCCGCGTGCGTTCGAGGCATCCGCGCGCGCCTGGGACCGCGGCCTCTCGCCTGGTGTCTCTTCCCTGCCGGCGTCCTCTGGCACCGCAGGCGGTTCTGCGGCGCGCTCACTCCCATGGGGTCTGGCCGTGCGGCGGCCCGCCAGGCTGTGCAGGAGGCGCGTGACAGCGCGGTCCCCCAGGGCTGCCCGTGTCCGACCCTGGCGCGCGAAGCGCATGGCGTGCTCGCGCAGATGCTCGTTGTACATCCAGACGCCGGCCACCTCCTTCAGGCACATGCCGCAGACCCACGGTCCTGTCCTGCCCTGCACGTGCTTCTCCTGCAGATGCTCACGCAGCAGTTGCCGCGAGCCGAACCTGCGCTCCACGCACATGTAGCAGGTTGGGGGCGGCGCGGGGCTGTGGGTCAGCCGGTGCAGGTCGAGCGCGCGCAGACCGTGGAAGCGTTGGAAGCAGACCTTGCACTTGTAAGAGGCGCGCCTGCCCTTGGCAGGCCGCTCCCCGCCTGCCCCCAGAGCCTCTTCTGGCATGGACTTTGGGCTGGGCAGCGGCTCGGGGGAATTCGCTGCGGTCCTGGGCTCCACCGGACTCCTGCCCTGGGGAACCGCAGTGTCCTCACAGGGCACTGGGGCACACGGGTCTTGCGACTGGAACGGGTTGCTCAGCATCAGGAAGTCCAGGGCCTGCAGTGGTGGTGGCGGCAGGCTGGCATTGCCAGGAGGCTCGGGGTCCCAGCACTCCCTCTCGAGGCTGGGGGGCCCTGGGCTTGCAGCCCCGGGCTGGGAGGATAGCTCCTCAGTGGGGGCCTGCAGCACGGAGCTGCGCCAGGCCACAGGAACCATGCGCAGCTCCGGGATGGCTTCAAATGCATTGTTCTCCATGCTGTGGGCGTCCGCAGCCCACAGGCTGGGGCCAGGGCTCCAGGACTCTATACTGATGACGCTGTCCAGCAGGAAGGAGCCAGCCAGCCCCGGGGCTTCGTCATCCCACGGGTCCTCTGGGGCGAGGCAGAGGGAGCCGGAATCAGAGTCAGTGAGGTCTGTGGGCAGACGGACGCACGGCGGCACGACGCCTTCCGGCTCCACCACACTGCTTGGCTGCAGCTGCTGCCTGGCCTTCTCCAGGCGCTTGCCGTAGACCCGGCGGGTCTTCTTCCAAGCACGGCGGCCGCCCATGGGGAAGAGCTGGGCGAAGGAGTCCTCGTCATCATCCCACAGGCTGCCAGGCTTCCCCGGCCCCGGGTGGGGGTCACCCCCAGGCCCCTGTTGCTTCTCCTGGGCTTCTGGACTGTCCTGGACGCAGTCCGGGCTTTGTGCTGCGGGCTGGGGGCCGATGCCCAGCGCCCTGAGCCCCTTGGCTGAGGCTCCCTGGGGCCCAGGGGAGGTCTGCTGGGTCCTCCTGGCCCGGCTCCGCCCACCACCTGGTGATCTCACCCTGTGTCTTCCCTCTGCGTGCGGGACCCCTGGACCTGTCCCTGCTACGTCCTCTGTCACCCCGGGCCCCACATCGGTCTCTTGCTCTCCCTCCGGGGAAGGACAGTGGCCTGCAGAGGCCGTGTCCCTGGCACTTGCGGTGGACTGGTTCCAGTCGCATCTGTCTGAAGCCTCCATACCCACGGCCAAGACGGGAGGAGCGCTCCGGCCCCGGGGCCTTCTCTGGCTCGGCTTCCTGGCACTCCTCTTCAAGGCGCCCTGGCGGCTGGCAGGTGGGTCCCTGGACTCTCGGCCTTGCCCCTGGCCCTCCTTTTTCCTTTTCTCCACCTGTTTTGGGGCACACTTGTCCCTGTCTGGTTTGTTCGGTCCTGTGGGCTTTGAAGTCAAAGTTGTTGCATCCACTCCTTGTTCTGTCAGGCCTGGGGACTGTGGTTGCTTGTGGCGGGGAAGGCCTACTGTCTCAAGGCCCCCTGACCCACGCCTGGCCACCACCATCGACATCCCAGGAACTGGGGAGTGCTGGGCATCGGGCTGCCCCGCTGTGTGTCTTGGGTCCACCTTCGCGGGCACCTTGCGGCTTTTCCTCCTGGGGTGCTGGCCCTCCTGGGCTGCAGGCTCCAGCTGGGATGCAGCTGTTGGGGGCAGTCTGTGTTTCCTGGCTCTGTGCCGGCTCAGAGCTGGCCCTGAGCGGAAGGTGGCCTGGCAGGCTGAGCAGGTCACGGCCCCTGCCTCTGTCTCTGGGGTCCGGTCGCTCCATGGGCTCTTATCCAGGGCCTTGGCTTCTTTCTTAAAACCATGGGGCCTCTGCCTGCCCCCCCGGGGTTTCTGGTGGAGGAGCTTCCCCTGGCGTTGGGGAGACTTGGGTGTACAGTCACCAGTGGGGCTGCTGGAAGAGTTGCCCAGGCCCACAGCCACGGGCAAGTGTGGCCCCTCGCTGCCAGCTCCGGCCTCACCTTCCCAGAAGGTGGGATAGGTGGGCTCTACCACCACAGTCCGGGCCTCGCTGTGGCCATGGCAGGGGGCATCACTTTGGAGGCCTGGGCAGGGACCCGTGGGTGTTCCCTTGGGTTGGGGGTGTGGCAGGACTCCCCTGTCTGCCTCTGCCTGGCGGCTGGTGGTTGCGCTGGGCAGGCTGGCGGCCTTGAGGGGCACTCTGGGGGAGGCGGTGCCCCCTGGTGGAGGAGAGCCTCCTGATGGGTCTTTCCTGAAGTCCTCAGGCATGCTCAGTGTGCTGTCTTGTGGACTGTTCCTGTCACGGGCAGGGCTCGGGTCCCTGGGGAAACGCAGGGGACCACTGTGCTCTAGGAGGGGGCCACAGGGGCTAGCTGCTAGAGGTGGGGAAGCTTCGGGGGGTGTGGGGGCTTGGACGCAGCTGTCCCCTGCCAGAGGTGCCTGGGCACAGAAGGCTGGCAGGTGCTGGGGAGTGGCCAGCTCACCTGTGGGCACCGGGTACTCCTGGTCCAGGCACTCAAGGCTGCAGGCGGCCCAGGCTGGGCTCTTCCGGGTCCCCAGCAGCTGGAAGCTGGGACCCGGGCTGGCCGCCTGCCCTGGACTTCCGTCTTGAGGCTGGTTCTGAGTGTGAGCTGCTGACGAGACTGGCACCAAGGAATCTCCACCAGGGGAAGTGGGGTTTGGGGTGGCCCACAGCTCGTCCCACAGCTGGGCTACTGCCCTGCTTCCCCTGCCAGCTGCCCCAGCAGGCCCAGCCAGTGCTGTTACAGGGTCAACACTGCAGTTGAAGGGGCAATCTGGCCCCTCTGGGGTCTCCCAGGGGCCCGAGGGATTCTGGCTAGGGTGTCCATCAGCCTTTGGCCCCGGCCGGTGCCCGGCTGCTGCAGGGGCCATTGCTACCTGCACTGCATCCAGGGATTCCTGGGTGGGGCTCCGGGCCACACTCCCACCTGCCACACTGGCTCCTCCTTGCTTGGAGCTGTTCCCATGTGGGCTGTGCTGGTCAGCAGGGGACAGCCTCTGCGACTTCCAGATGCAGCCTTCATTCCCAGTTGTGCTGGTCCCCTGGAAGGGGCTGGAAGCTGGGTCCCAGGGTGACCCACCAGGGCCGGTGCTGGGCTCACAGGCAGGGCTGGGCATGGGGACAGACCCAGCTTCTTTGCCCTGGGGAGCAGTGGTCAGGGACTGGTTGCTCTCAAGGCCAGGTTCTTCTGTCCTCAGGTGCAGGAGTCGCGTGTCCTGGGGCCTTTGGGTTTTGCCTGCTGAGCGTCCTGGGGTGGCACCGGTGCGGCTGGGACCAAGAGGCGAGGGGGCATCCAGACTGCTGCTGCCTTTAGAGGCCAGGTGGGCAGGGGGACTGTGAAGCCCTTGCAGGCCAGGGCCGACATCGGCCTCTCTGGGCCCCAGGGTGCATTCTGTCCTGGGAGGAAGCCGCACGCTCTTGCTGTTCTTTTCTGGCCGGGTGTCTGGGGACAGTAGGAGTTCATGGCTGGGGCTGGCGCCGGGCAGGGGCTCCTGCAGGCAGACCTCACAGTTTGTGTCGACGTTGGAGACCCTGGTTCTTCGCTGTGAATTACAGCTGGCCCCTGGGGGACCTACCGGAGCCTCAGAAGCCAGGTCTGTGTGGGTGCCAGGTGCAAGCATCGCTTGGCCTGGACAGGGCCACACGGGGGGGCTCCCGAGAGCCCCTTCCCCAGAGTCCGGGCTGTCAGCAGCCAAGGGTGTGCCCTCCTGGGATGAGTTGGCCTGGCAGGGGGCCCCAGGGGAGGGTTGCTCTGGGCCCAGGGCTGCCCCCCGCTGGCTGGGGTCCGTGTGTGGGCCTTGGCCATGCTGCAGCTGGCTCTCCAGCTCGGTCACCAGGCGCCTGATCTCCAGCTCGTCTTCTGACAGGCTGCCTGCACTGGGCTCACTGTCCCTGCTGGGCCCTGGAGGCGGGCTGGGGGCCACTCTCCCCTCAGGGGCACCCTGGTGACTGGGGGCCTTTTCCCCGACGAGGTCAGGAAGCTGGTTGGGCAGGGTATCACACAGCAGCAGGAGTGGGTGGTGGCGCAGCGGCCCCATTGGGGGCCCTTCTGGCTGTGGGTCCCTGTGGGCAGAAAGGCCGCTGTAGATTGGCAGGGAGTCGAATCCATCCAGGGCTAACTCTGAAAAGAGGGAAGTGGACTCCAAGGTCAGCGGTGACTTGGGGTTGCTTAGGTCCACGTCACCTGCGCAAGGCGGCTCCTGTGCCAGTTCTGGCTCGCAGGCTCCAGTGTTTGTCATGGTGGTGGAACACGGCTCTTCCGGGAAGCAGCTGGCCGGGTCTTGGGGTGCTGGCCATGGCTCACTGGGGAGGCTGCTGTCGGTTGGGGGCCTTGGGTGGTCACCCTGAGCCCCCACGGAGCCTGTGGTCTGATGTGCGTGGTCACAGCCAGGGTTGGAGTTGCTGGCTATGGCCGTAGCGAGCCCCCGAGCAGGGGTGTCGCCTCTGTCCTGGGAGGCAGGGGCCGGCGGCCGAGGGCTGCAGCTGGCCACTGGCTGCTCTGGGTCTGGGCGTCTGGGGCTGTTCCTCATCTCCGGGGCTGCAGGGTGAGGAAGCCCGTCTGGGGAATCTGTGGTGTCAGGAGGCGACCCCTGGACAACTTCAGGCCTCTCGGCCTCCAGGGGCTCATCAGAGGTGGTGGTCCGGTCCGTGGGAACTTGCGGGGTGCAGCAGTGGGCCTCTTGATCCTCTGGGCTTTGTGGGGGGCTGTGAGTCCTGGGACCCTCTTCCCGCTGCACAGCCTCGGGTTTCTGCGGCTCCCCACCCTCGCTGGCACCCTTCGCCAGGTCTCCGTCCTTCCTCCTGAGGCCTCGCCGGGACTGGGGCCGGCCCCTGAGGCCGGAGCCATTCGGCGGCTGTTCGTCGTCGGACTGCTGGGCTGCGCGGCTGGGCTGCCGCCCGCTCCTCTGCTGCGTCACCTTGCGGATGAGCCCCTTGCTCCAGCCGCCATGGGCCCTGCGCCTCAAGTCCTTCCCGGGGGGCAGGCGGAGGCGTCGGGAGCTCCTGGTCTCCGGAGTTGTGTGGCTCTTGGGGGCCTGAGTCCTGAGGTCGCGGGGGTGAGCTGGGGGCCGGGCAGCCCTGTGGATCTTCCGCCGCCTCCTCCTCGGCCGTGGGCGGGCGACCCCCGCGTCTCCGCCGGCCGTGCCCGTGTCTTTCCGGAACAGCCGAAGCTGCTTTCCTCTTCTGTACGGCCTGACCAGGCCAGAGGCCAAGACCTCTATGGGCGCCAGGCCCAGGGAGCGGGTTTTGGGCCTGTTTGGGGGTGGGCAGCCCCTGTCCCCGGGGCAGGAGGCACCCGTGGCCGGGAGTGGGGGCTGAGCTCTGTGTTCTGTTGTCACCCCCACCCGGGACTTCGGGGCGTGCCCGGCCCCCACCCCTCTGGGGCCTGAAGGCTCCTCGTCGGCAAAAACGTCGATGAAGGTGCTGTCGATCTCAGGGGTGTCCGACTGGTACCCCATGCCGTTGAGCGCCTCGGTGATGAGGCTGTCCAGCTTGGCCTCGTCCTCCAGGTCCAGCTCCGGGCCAGGCAGGGCGAAGGGGGTGGCAGCCGGACTGGGTGGGAAGCTGGCCCGGAGGGGGTCCTCCCGGCCACTGCCCTGCGTCTCCCCGGTTAGCAAGAAGGGCATGGTCTTGGCATGGGGCGGGGAGCCTGTGTGCATGTCAGTGGATGCTCTGGGGGCGCCCGTGGGTGCGTGGAGTCCAGGGAGCGGCTGGGGGCCGTCCTTGGCCCTGGCCAGGGGGAGGCTGCAGAATGGCCGGTGGGCCAGGAAGGCGGCCAGGCTGCTGTAGTTACGGTCGCACTGTCTACATGTGAGTAGCACATCTAGTTGGTCCAGGCTGGCGCTGCTCAGTGGGAAGTGGTGGGCAGCGTAGGGAGGCGGCCCCTGGGGGAACGGGCCCTCAGCCCCCAGCCCGTCCGTGGCGAAGGCAAAGGCCTTGGCTGGCTCCGGCTGGTACTGGGTGGGCAGGGGGTGGGAGGTCTCTGGCGGCAGGAAGGGGCCGCCGGTTTCCTGGGGGTGAGGGTGGAAGAAAGCTGAGGGCCCCAGGGGTGCAGGCAGCTGGCCCTCCTCTGAGCTGGGGTTGGCAGGGCTGCTGGACGGTGGCGACAGGGACGAGCAAGTACTGCTGCCAGCTGTCTGGGTGGCCGGTGAGGGCAGGGGGGACTCAGCGGGAGATGCTCCCACCACCCTGGGTGGGGGTAGGCCAGGAGTCCCACAGGGAGAGACCTGGGGCTGAGTCCCCCCAAAGAACAGGGGCTGGGCTCCGGGGTCCTTGGGCCTGCTGTAGGTGAACAGCCCTGGGGAGCCGCCCACCAGCTTCTCCCCAGATCCTGGCGTCTGGCTCACAGTGCCTGGGGTGTCCTGGCTGCCCCCCTGCCACTTGGGCCCCACCCCAGGGAATGGCAGCCGGCTCAGCACCTCCAGTTGGTGGGGGCTGGGGCTGGGGGTCGGGAGTGGCTGGGACCAGGGCATGGAGGGGCTCTGGGGAAGGCAGAGCCCCTGGCCTGAGCCTGGCTGACCTCTGAAGAGGGTGCTCCTGGCTGCGGCTGGGGGAGCCAGGGTAGGTGTGGGGTAAGGGCCTGTGGGGGGGTCCCACAGCTGGGGTAGTGTGGCAGGTGGGGGACCTGAGACAGCCAGCTCGCCATCCAGAGGCCCCGGGCTGCTGCCCACGCTGCCGGCCGTGTATGCCTGCCCTAGAAAGTGGCCCTGGGGCCGGGGCTCCGGGGGTCTCCTGGGGCTCCCCAGAGTACTGTGAGCTGAGGGGGGTCTTTCAGGAAGCACCTTGGTCAGGCTCTTGTGCAAGCCCTCAGGGAAGGGGCCTTGGGTCCCGTGAGCAGTACCGGGTGGGGAGAGCACAGCCCGCAGGTCGCTGGGTGGGTAGCAGGGCAGCGTGTAGGCCGGGCTGGAGCCCACGGCCTCCTGCGGCCACAGCGCCGGCGGCTGGAAGGGGAACCCACGTGCCCTGTTGCTGTACTCGCGCCTAGCAGTGTCCGTGGGGAGGGGGTAGGGGAAGGGAACTGGCCCGGGGCTGCCAGGCCTGCTGCTTTCCGGAAAGGTCTCCCGCTCTGAAGTGGGGACCCCAAAATTAGCACCTGGGAAGTTGCTGTCAGCAACGGGAGGCCAGGGGGTGGCCTGGCTGACCTGGAAGTTGGGGTAGGAGGCCGGTTGGCTGGGGCTGGCGCTGCGGCTCTGGGGTGCCTGCAGGCCCGGGGGCCCTGGGGGCGCGTCAGGCGAGGTAAAGGCCAGGGTGCTCTCCTGGCAGCACCTTGAGAAGCTCAGGACTTCGGGGCTGGGCCTGAGGGGTGCCCCGGGTCCTGGGCCCTGGGGGGCCTCAGTCTGGGGGCCCTCCTGGCTCTCATCCAAGCTGTAGGGCTGTGGGGGGCTGCCGTCTGCCTTACCCACTGGCTGCATGTGAGCCTGGCAGTGGCCCCTCTTTGGTGGGACCTGGGGGCTGTCCCCTTTCCCGAGGGGGCTGCCCAGGGCCTGGGGTCTGTGGGGCAGCCCCTTGGGCTCTAGCTCCCCAGCTTGGGTCCTGCTGGCCGTGGCAGGGTCCTCGTGGGGGAGCCTGAAGGGGCGCCCCAGGCAGCCGGCAGCGTGGCAGGACAGATCTCTGGTCATGGCTGGGGGTGGCGCTTCGCAGGGCTGCTCTCCAGGCATGGCCCCTCCGACCTGGGCACTAGGAGAGTGCAGTGGTCTGAGGGACGCCCTGCTGAGTGGGCTGGGTGGCCATCCTCACCCTTCGGGGAGCCCAGGAGAGCCTGTCTTCGTGGTCTGAACGGGGACCTGCAAGGCAAGGGCAGCCATGAGTGAGGGGCTGCAGGCATGGGGGTACCCCCTGGCAAGGAGCCTCCCCAACAGGCTGTGTGGCTGCAGGGCTGGGGCAGAGGCAGCTGGGGTGGCCCTCATGGGAGCCCGTCAGGAAGGGGGGTGGCCTCACGCCAGACAGCCTCACTGTGGGATCACACAGGATGGCCTCAGACACACAAGAAGGGGTGCCCGGTTCCTTCCCAACCATACCACCTTTGCCTTCACTCTGGCCCCAGCTGCCTGCATATCCTGTTTGCAGGCTGGGGCGGCCCAAGGGCTCCGGATGGATGCAGTTCCAATGCCGGCCACGTGACGGCGCCACCTTGCTCCTCCCTGGCAGAGTCAGGGTGGTGCCAGGGGGTCTCCTCCCTCCATCTGAGCCCCCCTGCCTCAGAGCAAGGAGTGGTGGGAAACATTTTCCATGGCAGTGAACATAGTCCCCACGCTGGCATCATGGTGCCCCTGACACGTGGCCGGTGGGCCTTCCCAGGAGGGGCCGGGCTGTGGGACTGGGAGTGGCAAGCAGCCAGGGCCTCTCTGATAGGGAGAGGGCAGCCAGGGCTGGGAGCCCCCAGCCAAAAGGCTGAGGGGGTAGTTGTGCGGGGCTTGGGCTCGGCCCCCAGCCCAGCAGGGGCCCCAGAAAGGACTCCTGCAAGAGGTTGGCCGGGAAACAGCTGTGCAGGGGCACCTGGGGCCGAGGGGGCGGTAACCAGCCCTGTGCCAGCTGCCCTGCTACATACCTGGGGAGTGGGGGCCCCTGGGCCTGGTCAGGGCACGGCTTCCAAAGCAGGGAGGGCCTCGAGGCTGCAGAGGAAGCACAAGCAGCGGGTCAGAGCCAGCACAGCCGGGGCCAGAGCCGCTGCTCATGACAGCAAACAGCCCGTGCCCCTGAGTGGATGGTAGCGCAGGCCAGTAGGTAGCCTGGCCACCCCAGCCACTCCTACCCTATTCCTCCCGGGGTGCGGTGGGGTATGGAACTGCTCAGGGGGCACCTCTGGGTATAGCTGCCAGGGCTCCAGGATGGCAAGGCCCCATGGTGTCCATGCTTCTCCCCAAACACCGGCCACGGCAGGTGCAGTTTGGCTGCCAGGATGGCATGGGCAAGGGGCCTGTCCTTAGCCCTAGCTGTACCCAACTCAGCTTTTGGAGGGAGCCGGCTGTTCCCTGCTTCAGATGCCAAAGGGCACCTCACTCCTGGTCACCAGGACCCTGTCCACTCACTACCCAGTCCCTTACCCTTCACTCTCTCTGCCTCAGGCCAGGCTCTGCACCACAGCTGGCTGCAGATGGGGGAGTGAGAAGCGCAGCGGGAACAGGGGCACGGAGGCCCCACTCAGCCCGGCTGCCTGGCCTGTGGGTCCCAGCTCTCCTCAGCCCCATGCTGGTCCGCAGCACCCCAAGGTGCTCGCCAGGGGCAGCATTGGCTTGGTTCTTGGGCCCTCCTCCAGCTCGCTCTTGGCCAAGACCCCAGGAGGTGCAGGTTTCAGCGAGGGAGAGGGGTGCCTTTGAAGTAGGGTGATCCAATCCCGTAGATCCCGCTCCAGCAAGCTCCCCCAGCGGCTCCTTTTCTGCCACAAACATGGCTCGCTACTCAGGTAATTCAAGACAGTGGGCAACAGACCCGGCAGAGGGGCAGGGGTGCGGGCACCCCCCGTGCTGCCCTCTTCCTCGCCCCTCTCACTGGCCTGCACTGTCTACCTCGGAGCCCCTGCCCCAGCACCCTCTGCACGGGTACCTCCCTTGCTCCGTGCCAGCTTCCTGACGCTCACCCACTCCCAAGATTGCAAGGGCTCCCCTCCTGGCTCTGCTGCCGCTTGGCCATGGGGCCTACGCCGGGCTCGGTGTGGTGGCCATCACAGCTTGACCACACGAGTGAGAACACTGTGGCCAGCACACCCAGGCCATGTCAGGCCAACCAGCACCCAGCAAGCCCTCAGCCTCTTTCTCCTTGGCCAGGACCCCTGCAAGTATGGGTGCTGATTGGCCCCAGTTGTTGACAATGTGTCTCAGTGGCTGCCCCGAGCATGCAGCCCGAGTGGCCCTGCAACCACGGGGACATGCTGTCCACTTTTCACCGTGCTGGAGGGGGCAGACAGGGTCCTGGGCAGGGGAACTTGGCATGATGGCCCCTGGGGGCCCAGCAGGGGGAACTAGAGGGTCCTCCTGGCCATTTGGCTTCCACCTAACCCTTGTGGCGGGTCCCTCAGGTCCAGCATGGGGGAGGAATGAGCCACAGTGCTTGGGGTACACGGGCCCTGCCTTGCCATGTGCCCCAAATAGGAAACAGGTGCTGCTGAGGTTCCAAGAGGCCCCCAGTTGACCACGGTTGCTCCATGAGCTTGAAGGGCAGAGCCTGGACTAGCATGCACCCTGTGGCCCTGGTGTCTGGGAGGGCACCAGTCCTGCCCTGGGGCCCAGCTCTGTCTGCTCAGGTACTGACTCAGACCTGGGCTGCTGGCTCTCCACTCCGCTGCTGCTGCTGCCCTGGGTGCTGTCCCCCGCCACCCAGGCCCCCAGTCTGCTCCCCAGCGGGCGGGCCGGCCCGGAGCCCTGGGGCTGCAGCCTTGCCAACTGCTTGGTGAAAGGCAGTCCAGGTACGCTTCCCTTTCCTGGAGCTTCAAATGTGGCCGCTCTGCTCGGAAACCATCCGTCACCAAGCACTCAGATAAACTGCTACAGGGAAAGTTATAGTTGAGATACAACCCGGAAGGCACAAATTATCAGCCACATTTATCTTAATTACTTTTGGGAAAGGTGGGGGCTGGGTTGAAACAGGTGTCTGTCTATCCCACCCTCACAAGGTACAGAACAGAGACCAGCTAAAGTGGCAGCGGGGGGGTAGGATGGGGTTCATACTAAAGGCATGACCACTGTCCGCCAGCTCTGTGGGTGGCTGGCACAGGGTACGGCGCACGCCCCGGCCACCTGCTTGCCAGCTGCGCTGTGCGCAAAGTCTGATGCCCAAGGGTACAGCTCGCTCCTGATGCAGGCACCTCCTGGAAAGTCCCCTCCACTCTTCCCTGCTGGCACCCACGCGGCCTTCTCTAGCCTGCCCAGGCACGGAGAGCAAGGCCACCCTGCTCCAAGTCTCTGTCCCTTTCAGCCTGCTGCCTTGGGGAAGCCCCACAGCCACTTCACAGCCTCAGGCCAGGATGGCACCTTCTGGCACGCCAGCTGAGGTGCCATGCTGGGCAGGGAGCAAACACGTACCCACCCTGACGTGCTCTGGAAGACAGCGGGGGCCCGGCGGATCAGCCTCATTGCTACTGGGGTGCAGAGGCAGCTATCGGTCCCCACTTCCCTGCATTGTCTGGAGCCACTGAGCGCAGGGTGGCTGTGTACCCTTGGGAGCACAGCTTACGCCAGATGCCGTCAGACACCAGCAGTTTCCCAGTGGCACGGGGAGCCCCCAGACTCCCCATGGGGGACTGCTAGGTGGTTCACGTGGCAGCTGAGTGGTCTTGGTGCCTACAGAGGCAGGGCCCTTGTTTCCACAAGCCTACCAGGAAACTATAGCCTGCATTTTCCTCACCATCAGCCTGCTGGGCAGTTCTGCTTTGGAATATTACAGAACGAGGGTCCCTGGAGCACCTTTGGACTGAACGGACAGGAACGGTGGCTTGGAGAGGGGTTGGTTCACCAAGTCCACACGCTGAGATTGGGGGCACTGTGAGCACGCCGAGGACGCAAGGCCAGACCTACGCTAGACCCACCAGGCCGAGAGGGAGTCTGAGTGGTGAGATAGGCTGTGACTCATGCGGCTAGCCCTGGCCCAGCACAGCTGCAGACCTGGCTCCAGAGGGGTCTGAGGTGATGGCCCCTGGGGTCAGGCAGTCAAGCATGACCGCCCCCAGAACCACCCGTGTGTGGGTGTTGAGGGCCCTTGTTGAAGCAGCTCTTGTCTCAACCCCATGGATGTGGGGGAGCCCGTCTCCTCTCTACCCAGCCAGTCCCGCCAAGAGTGACAGCACCAAGGTGACCGGGCCGGGGTGGGGCGGGCAGTGGGCTGTGGCCACTTGATTTTCCCTGTGCTGACTGAGACCCCAGAGCTGCTCACCTCCGGCGGACTCACAGGCTGCTCATCTCAGCTAGGCCTCACCTGAGAATGGGCCTTGCAGGCTGTTCAGCAGCGGCTCTAAGAGCTGCTTCCTGAGTGACAAGCTTAATGAGCTTCCTAGGAGGCCTGGTAGCCATGCTAATTACTCCCCTACCATCCTGGGGTTCACAATCCCATCAGCTCCTTTGTCAATTAGAAGCGAGCCTAATTCTTCTTTGGAGATTAGCGGAGGCGGGGCTGCCAGCTCCCACAGTCCTGCTGAGGCATCCCAGGGGCGGTGCACCTGCTGCCAGCTAGCAGGACCCTCCGAGGCCCTGCCTGGCTCCCACAGACACGTGGGAGGTGCTTCCTGCTGCCAGGCGAAGGAAGCGACCGTCCAGCTCAGTGCACAGATGAGAAGATGCCCTTGGAGGGCATGCAGGCTGCCACGTGGGCATGGGGGCTGGGCTTGGGGCAGGCGCGGACACCTGCAGAGGGAGTCTGCTCTGGGGGGTGTCCCCAGCACTGCTCTCTGGTCAGGGCTCTGCAGGCTTCACTGGGAACCAGCAGGGAGTGGAGTCTAGGGGAGGGCAAGGCAGAGTCTGTCTCCTGAAGTGGGGGTGCAGGATGGGGTGGGCAATGCTACCCCTCTGGAGACCCCAGCAAGGACCTTGCTCTGTTGCTCCCACATTACTCAGGTGCGGGTAGTGGGGACCGAGCTCAGAGCAGGGAGGTGACTTCTCCCAAGCTCACTGAGGTGGCAGGGACCCTCCCCGTGCCATCATGTGTTCAAGCAAGGCCACGGAGCCTGGCT